CCCAGGGGCGCGCAGGCCCACTACCAGGCCGTGTGCCGCGCGCTCTTCGTGGAGACGCTGGAGCTGCGGGCCTTCCTGGCCAGGGTCCGCGAGGCCAAGGAGGTGAGCAGAGAGGCGTGTGGGGAGGGACAGGGTGGACGGAGGCAGGAGGGGGAAGGGGCCAAGGACAGGGTGGGGGACCCCGTGCGACGGTGGTGAGCAAAAGGGAGGGGTCTCAGGAGGAGGCAGGAGGGGCCAAGGTGGTGTCTGGGGTGCAGGGTGATGGGGGGCTGGGGAGGGGCGGTCGGGCGTGCGGGCTGTTCCTCCCCTGTGTTAGTCCCTCTGTCCTCCTGTCTGTTCCCTGGGGAGTGGGAATCCACTCTGTGCAGTAACCCTCACGCCTTCTTACCTAGTTTTACACCCGAGGGAGGGAACAGAGGGAACGAGGGAACAGGACGAGGGAACGGGAGGCTTGGAGAGGCCTCTGGGCCCATGGCCGGCTCCTGCTGCCTCTCGGGTATCAACCTCCTGCCTCCAGCTCACCTGGGCAGGTGCTGTTCCTCCTCAAGATGAGGTGCTAAAGGCAGCCGCTCCTCCCTGCCCCCAGGACCCACAGAGGTGCTGGTGCTTGGAGCCTTGGGGCAGAGGGTAACCAAGTCCCGTGTGGTTGTCGCCTGTTTTAGGGGAGAGTGGTTGGAGGCTCAGAGCGGCCGGTCCCTCTCCCAGTCCCAGAGCGAGCACAGGGCCGAGCTGGGCCTCCGCTGGTGGTCTCCCAGGGCTGCCCTGCCCCTGGTGGTCTCAGAGTTAGGGGCTGACAGTCTGCCCCTCAGCTCTCCGGGTCTTGGAGGAAACAAGTGGGGAGCTCGGCTTCCCATTCGCACGTCACAGAGGAGAACGTGGACACTTGGAGAAGTCGGGGAATGTGCTCCCTTCTCCTGCGAGTGCAGGAGGTATTCTTTCAACGATGCTGATCCCTGCTTGCACCCTGACCCCTCACGGGCACTGTCTCTCGTTTCCTCTAACCAAGAAGCGTTCCGGGCAGCTTCCCTGACCCTCTGGCCCGAGCGGGCTCTCAGGGCTGTTCTGACTGGTGGGGCTGGGACCCAGCTCAGGACAAGCCAGTCGATGAGCCTCTTGGCCCTTGTCTGCAGCCCATCAATACTCCAAGGTGGGTGGCTCCTCGGCCCCTGCCGGTCTCCCACAGACCATCCCTCCCCACTCCTCTGCTGCATCTTGGAGATGTCCTGCTAACGCTCCAATTAGTGGGTGCTCAGAAGTCATCTTTCCGTTCCGTGGCTGGGATTGATTTCTGACCCAGAGGACAGACGCTCTTTCTTTTAAAAAGCTCTAGATTTCAAGCAGTTGACTCCTGAGAACGTCAGGGATTGGTGGTGGAGGGAGTGCAGGGCGGTTCGGGAGGGGGGGGGGGCACCGGCTGCTCAGGGACAAGTGTGCTGCTCCAGGAAGGATGGGAGACACACCTCGTGCCCTTTGCCCACAGGGACCACCAGGTCACACACAGGTCTATTTTTAGAATCACTACCTTGTGCTTCTCAGAGACCTGGCAGCCTTTTCTAGAGCAGTTTGGCAAGTGGCTTGGGGCTAAAGCCAGGGAAACCGGTTCTGGGGGGGGGGGGGGGGGGCAGTGTGCTGAAGGGCAGATGCTTCTCCAGGTGGGGGAGCTGGTGAGAACAGACGCCCCAGATGCTGCCAAGACCCAGGACAATGGAGGCAGCAAACCTAGCAGCTTCTTCTCAAATTCTCAGCGTCGTAGTTACCCAACAATCCCTGATATCCTTCTATGGCCCTGAACATGCTGGTGGCATTTCCCCCAGCTCATAAAATACATACCTGACTGTTTTCCAGGACTTGCTGAGTAACTCACCCTCTCACCCATCCATCCATCCATCCATCCATGTATCCATCCACCCACCCACCTGCCCATCATCCATCATTCATCACCCATATACCCATCCATCCATTCATTCATTCAACCAACATTTAAGGCCTAGCATGTGCCACTCTGTGCTAAGGAGACAGGAATACCAACATGAGGAAAAAAAACAAAGACAGAAAATGTGGTTCTGGCCTCATGGAGTCACTAGCGCAGACGACCATTGAAGAGGCAGATGAATGCAGAACTAGCTGGGTTCGCAGGCAGAGGCGTGGCCGTGGGTGTGCTGAGAGGGTGGGCGGGTGTGGCCCAGGTGAAGAGGCTGAGAGAGGCCTTCCTGGGGACGGGCTGTGAGCTGGGATCTTAGGGAAAACGCTTCCCACGCGGGAGAGCGGCTCCGTGCCCTCTTCGGGGGCCCCACGCCTCGCTGGGGCGTGCAGACCAGGCGAGAGAGGCTCTCTGTGGGTGCCGGGCTCTCGTCCCCGCCCTTGCCAAGGAGAAGCTGCCAGGGATGGCGATGGGGCACCAGGTGTCCCGTGTGGCTCCGTGGCCGATGGCTTAGTTCTCCCAGATACCTTTCTGCTCCCGAGCCTGGGCCTAGTCTTGCTGGTGGAATAGTAGCCCGTGTGGTAAGGACAGGCCACAGTGATGGCCCAGCAGGCGCCCACACCCTGAGCTGCCGTTCCCCACCTTCTCTTGGACCCACAGATGCTGCAGAAGCTTCGCGAGGACGAGCCACAGGCGGAGCAGCCCCTGGCGGAGCTTGACAACCTGAGGCACACGGACTGGGTAAGACGCGGCTCCCCGACCCGGGACCCCGAGGACCTGCGCCTGGAGGGCCCCGGGAGTCCTGGCTGGGGCTCAGGGCCATTCTCACCTTCTCGGGGCCCAGGCCCGACTCTGGGTCCAGCTCATGCGGGAGCTTCGCCACGGAGTGAAGCTCAAGAAGGTGCAGGAGCAGGAGTTCAACCCGCTGCCCACCGAGTTCCAGCTCACCCCCTTCGAGATGCTGATGCAGGACATCCGCGCCAGGAACTACAAGCTGCGCAAGGTCATGGTGAGCCGGCCGG